AAAAAAAAAAAAAAAACTAGCCAGGGACGGGCGCGGTGGCTCACGCCTGCAATCCCTGCACTTTGGGAGGCTACTCAGGAGGCTAAAGTGGGAGGACTGCTTGAGCCCAGGAGGCTGAGGCTGCACTGAGCTATGACCGTACCCTTGCACTCCAGCCTGGGTAACAGAGTAAGACCCTGTCTCAAAAAAAAAAGAAAAAGTCAAAGAGATTTTCAGCCAACTGTGAAGTACTGTTTCTTAATATCCCACTCCTTTCTTCAGCTTGAAACAGCTTATGAAAAACTAAACAATAGTTTAGTTTAGTGGAAGCAGGGGTGAGAGGGCAGAAGATTCACTTTTCCTTATATTCCATTGGGCACTATTTGACCCTTTTACCACATACATGTTATTTCACAATTTAAAAAGAAATACATATTAGAACTAATAAATGAGTTATGCAAGATTATAGGATGTAAGATGAATATGCAAAAAGCAATTAATTTCTATACTCTAGCAATAAACAATCCAAAAATAATTAAAATTAAGAAAGCAATTCAATTTACAATAGGATCAAAACCAAATACTAAAATATAAATTTTTTATTTATTTATTTATTTTTGAGACAAGAGTCTCGCTCTGTCGCCCAGGCTGTAGTGCAATGGCGTGATCTCAGCTCACTGCAACCTCCGCCTCCCAGGCTCATGCGATCCTCCCATCTCAGTCTTCTAAGTAGCTGGGACTACAGGCATACGACACTACACTTGACTTCTTAAATTTTTTGTAGAGACAGTGTCTCCCTGTATTGCCTAGGCTGGTCTTGGGCTCCTGAGCTCAAGCAGTCCTCCTCCCCTGGCCTCCTTAAGTACTGGGCTTATAGGTACTGTGCTCAACCTGTAAAGAACTCAAAACTCAATAAGAAGACAAATAGCTCAATTACAAAATGAGTAAAGAATCTGAATCGAGATAAAATAGCCAATAAACACATGAAAAGATATTAACACCATTGTTCATTAGGGAAATGTAAATTAAAACCACAATGAGATACCACCTCATACTAGGATGGCCTTCTTCAAAAAGATGGACAATAACAAATTTTGGGTACAATTGTTT